GCCCTCCAGGTTATAACTTTGTTCTTCTGAATTAGACAGATAAATAATTTTACTGTTTCTATTTTTATTAAAGGAACCGAAAGGCAAAGATTTTAAATATTGTTTTGGTGAAGTTGTTTTTATATACTGAAATTTAAAATTGCCGGTTTCTTCTAAGAGCAATTTTTTTAGTACCGGAAGCTTCCATTTGCAAACAGTTGCCGCGCTGGTCTGTAACCGCTTTATCTAATAGTACCGCGTTTTCACAAACAATTGTTGTAGTTATAAAAATTGTAGATATTTTAAAAAAATTAAAAAAAATGGCTGATAGTTTTGATGATTTATTCGATTGCTTTAGTGAATCATTAGAGGCCCAGAAAGAAACAGCAGCAGATTTGAAAAATGAAACAAACGATCTTAGAAAGTTAGTATTTACCCATTATAACCTCAGAAAATCACGTTCTAATAAATAGCATTTGAAGAAGTTGGAATTTTAATTATTTTTTGGAATTTTCAATGTAATTTTTTGTAGTCAACTTAAACGTGAGTCTGAAGGCACTTCTCAGCAGTCTCAAAAGAGAACTAAAATTGATACTGATGTTGACTTTGATGACATTAAGTAAGTAAATTGCATCTTTAAGAAATTTTTGCATTCATGATGCCTTATTATACTTTTAGTTTTGAAGAATTGAGAAATCGGATAGTAGTTCACGAAATAGAATCTCCTGAATCATGTACGCATGAGGTTGCCTGCCCTCCAGGTTATAACTTTGTTCCATTACAGTCTCGGAGTACAGAACCAGCAAAAATTTATCCTTTTGCACTTGATCCTTTCCAAAAGGAGTCAATATTATGCATTGATAATAATCAGTCTGTTCTGGTCTCAGCTCATACATCAGCAGGCAAAACAGTTGTTGCAGAGTAAGTGATATCCATTTATAATTTAATACACATAATTGAATTGTAAACAGTATTCTGATTATTGTTCAAAATTATCAACAGGTATGCAGTAGCAGTATCTTTAAAAAACAAACAAAGAGTTATTTATACAACTCCTATTAAGGCTTTATCAAATCAAAAGTATAGAGAATTTTATGATGAATTTAAGGATGTGGGGCTTGTAACAGGTGATGTTACAATTAATCCAACTGCTTCATGTCTTATTATGACTACTGAGGTGACTAAAAAGTTGTGTTTATTTACATGTGTGGATAAAATTTCTTTTTTAGATTTTGCGTAATATGTTATACAGAGGCTCAGAAATAATGAGAGAAGTTGGTTGGGTAATATTTGATGAGATTCATTATATGAGAGATAAAGAACGAGGTGTTGTTTGGGAAGAAACATTAATACTGTTGCCACATAATGTCCATTTTGTATTTCTTTCTGCTACAATTCCAAATGCGAGACAGTTTGCTGAATGGGTTTCTCATCTTCATCAACAGCCTTGCCATGTTGTTTATACAGATTATAGGCCTACACCTTTACAGCATTTCATTTTTCCTGCAGGAGGACAAGGCATTCATATGGTTGTTGATGAAAATGTAATATTATTTGAATCGACAAAAGGGTTGCTTGTATTAAATAAGGATTTTTAAGGGGACATTTAAAGATGAAAATTTTAATACTGCAATGGCAGTACTACAAAATGCTGGTGATGCATCCAAGGGTGATCAAAGAGGGCGCAGAGGAGGAGTAGCTGGGAAAAATCCTTCAGAAACTAATATTTTTAAAATTGTGAAAATGATTATGGAAAGGAACTTTGCCCCTGTAATTGTTTTTAGTTTCAGCAAGAAAGACTGTGAATTATATGCTATGCAAATGACTAAATTAGATTTTAACACCAGTAAGTATTTTTTTTAATATTTTTATTTTTAATTGTCTAATACATCAGTTACACTAGAAAAAAAGAGAAGCACACAATGTCCAACAAATTTTAATAAACTGGACATTAAAAATATATATAGTTATTGCTGTAGGTACTTTACATACTTGTACTAAAAAGTGACACAATACTTAAATTTAATTAGAATAAACATAAACCTAAACTAAATTAAACTAGAAACAAATAACATTTGTTTTAAGTAATTATTAATTTTTGAATTAGCTGCTGAAAAGCAATTGGTAGATGAAGTTTTTCAAAATGCGATGGATGTTTTAAATGATGAGGACAGACATCTTCCACAAGTGGAAAATCTACTTCCATTATTAAGAAGAGGTAAGATTTAATAATAAGGAAAGATTTAAAGCCTTGTAAAACGGCGATAATTTTTTTTTGTCATGATAGAAGTTTTGTGGCAATTTTAATAATTCAATTTGGTGTAGAGTCAAAAAGTCAGTTGTTGAATATTATTTGTTTTTGAATTATTTTTGCTCTTAAATCATTTAACATGTAATATTGATTAAGTTTATTTTAAAATTGCCTAATATACTCACATTTTGGCGAAACTGTGGCAGGGATACCTTGTATACGGGCCTATGGAGAACAAGAACGATTCATTAAGGAATCTGAAGCTAAAGTTGATCTTAATCAAGTTTGTTATTTTCCCAGTATTATTTCAAATCGATGGTTAGCTGTGAGACTAGAAATGGTGGGCAACTTAATTATATTATTTGCTGCTTTATTCGCTGTTCAAGGAAATCAAAACGCTGGGTTGGTCGGTTTATCGATCAGTTACGCCTTGCAGGTAAAAAAATATTATTGATATGATATTGATCTTAAAGTCGTGAGTCCTAAGACTGATTGGACAAGCACCTCCACTCTCTTCTATCCTGACCTAACTTTCGCATTTCCCGGAAACTAGAACATCCCACTATCCCTATCCTTAACTATTTACAAACAGTAATCTAATCTAGGTCTACCTCTATTCCTCTTAACTCCTGCTTCTATCTCTAATATGTCTCGAGATGATATTACACTTTAATAAAATAATTTACTTCGGTAGAATAGAATAGCCTAATTTTCATCACATCTTCAGAAATTTTAAGTTGTAAAACATTTGTAGATTACTCAAACATTGAATTGGCTCGTCCGTATGACGTCAGATGTTGAAACTAACATTGTGGCTGTAGAAAGAATAAAAGAATATGGCGAAACTCCTCAGGAAGCACCTTGGGAAATACCTAACAAAACGCCACCCAAATCTTGGCCTGATCAGGGTGCAGTGTCATTTAATAATTATTCTCTTCGTTATCGTCCTGGTTTAGAATTGGTTCTTAAAAGGATAACATTTTCTGTAAAAGGTGGAGAAAAAGTAGGTATTGTTGGACGGACAGGAGCTGGAAAATCCAGTTTAACGTTGGCCTTATTTAGGTGAGAAACTGAAAGGTTTTTTAATTTGTGAAACATCATATTAAATATTTTTGTTCTTTTAGGATAGTGGAAGCAGCAGAAGGAGAAATTACCATTGATGGTATAAGGATTGCTGAATTAGGCCTGCATGATCTAAGGTCGCGATTAACTATTATTCCTCAAGATGCAGTGCTTTTCTCAGGTTCCCTAAGAATGAATTTGGATCCATTTAATAAACATTCGGACGAAGACGTTTGGAGAGCTTTGGAATTTGCACATTTGAAAAGTTTCGTAAAAGGTACATTTTTAGTTTAAATTATATGACTAANTACTTTTAAGTATTTTTCGTATCATTTTCTTAATCAATACTTTAAAATAATCTCTTTTGCATACCGTTTTTTTTTGTTAAGTTTGGTATATTTGTATAAAACTAGAAAGGTAATAATTTTAAAAGGTAAATAGCTTATTATTTTTTTTACTTAAAATGATTTTTTTCTATTAAACGATGTGTAAATGTGATGTGTAAATATAGCAAAATACCTATTATTTTTGGTGTCAGGTAAATAAATGTTCAACATTTTAAATAACAATTTGTTACGTTACCTGGAAAAATTACCCTTAGTAAGAAAGTCATTATGGCCTTTTTCTATTGTTATTCAGATTAAAATTCAAGACGCGGAATATGACTGGGGTGTGATTGTTAACTTCAAAAAGATCACCGACAATCCCCCCGGTCGAAAGGGCAAAACAAACACGTTGGTTACCAAGCTGCAAGTTGACCTGTTGCTGCATGTCATATCTGAAGGCAAAGGCGACACTGACGGCGACGATACGGACAATTTGATACCTAAACCATGTTCTGAGGACCAGGTAAGTAGGAAATAGATAGAAAGACAGGCAGATCGATTCCATGAAGTGTACTATTGCTGTTGTTTGCTTCTGTCATTGAATTGTTGGAACTGCCTATAATTATATAGGGATTCGTGAGGAGTAATAAAAGTCGATTAGGGGTAGGATGGAATCTTTCATTTCTGATCGCAATATTTAAATATACAAATACGGCATTTTCCAAGTTTGCTTCTTTTGTGTAACAGAAATTAAATAATAAAAGGATTAACCATTTCTAAATTTCAAGCAAAAATAGAAGAAAATAATTGTAAAGGATGTATTTTTAGGCGAGTTACGTCAATATATAAAACAAAAAATAAAATGATAGGTGGTTTTATTATTTTTTTTTTTGTTTTATTAGACGCTTGATCTTTATCTCAAAAAAAATATCAGGATACCTCTATGCAATATGAAGTTATTAAAGTTTTTTGTGCGAGCAACCTGATGATGTGTTTTGAAATATAAGGACGCAGGCGAAGTACCTGGAGTCAGTTAAATGTAAAAAATTAAAATGTATTAAAATTTTAAATTGTTTTCACCAATGAAGAGCGAAAATTGATGCGTTATTAAATAAACAATATATATACACATACAATATTTTGAGTATGTATTTGAAAACTAATAAAGTTGGACTCTATTAAATAATCTATTATGATGGTGTGTTTAATAAAGAAGCACATTTGTATGCGATATGCGTATTACTTTTTACGGTTAGTGTATTTTAGTTGAATATTTAAAAGTAAAATTTACTAATGGTAAAAAATCTAACATTTTACAATCTAATTAATTGTTTAAATGTTTTTCATATCAAAGGCACACTTTTTTTCCTCTGAAGTAGCAAAAGTTTTATAAAATGAAAAACTTACCACTCAATTAAAATCGCAATCCTGCAACAAATGAAATCTACTCTTAAAACATCCTAAATATTTTATCAAAATAAATATTTATTACGATTAGTTTAAAATACATTCCTAAGAATTACAGGTATACAACCTTAAGTTAAATAAATTGTATCAAAAGTAAATTCTAAGAAAGAAAAATATGTTCTATTTAAAACTTTATTTTCGTGCAATTATATTTAAAGATATTTGAATTAAAGTATTCTGTAAAATTATGTATTAATCCCTTCTGGAACTCCTAAGTATAATACACTTGTTATTATTACACTTATTTTAATAAACACACACTATTATATTTAAAATTACCTGACAAACAAGTGTAATGTTTGTTTCTGATAAGGTATATACCAGAATAGGGTTTAGGTAATTGTACGGAACACCCGCAGGGAATATTTTCATTTTCGACTAATAGGTATTTTCAGAAATTTTAGATGATGGGTAAATGGACCTGTTTATTATTTGTTATTTGGAAGTTTTTGAAAATTGCTATTACAATTTTCAGATATTTAGGAAGGTTGATATACCGTTACTTAAATGTGTTATCTGAAGGGCAATTAAGGATAACTTTTTATTTGTTAAGTAGTTAAAATTACAATTTTAAATTTAAGTTAAAAAAATGTATGATTGAAGATTAATTAATTTGTGTTTGACGAATTTTATTTACTCGCTAATTTTAGTACTTTAGGGCCCTAATGGTCACAAGAAACTTTTTGTTTTTTGAGTCATAAAATTTCGAATTTAAGATAATGTCGAATTAATTCGAATAATAATGTTTTGAAAATATAATGTGAATGAAATTCTGTATTACTCCTTTTTTTGTTAGGCATTGCACGTTATTAGTTTTAGTCGTTATTGTTTTTACTTTTGTTATTAAATATATGTACGTCGGCCCTTAAAACCAGTAACTTTCAGTAACTGTATTGATTTTTTTATAGAGCGGTGAAGTAGAGGTTGTTGCAGTATGTTCAAGTTTAATAACTCACATATCATCAGTTAGACTGTATTGCCCAAATGATTTACGATCAAGAGACAGCCGGAAGGGAATGTTTAAAGCTGTTAAAGAAGTGAAAAAACGGTTTCCCGATGGTTTACCATTACTAAATCCTATCACCGATATGAAAATTGATGAATCTGAATTTTTGGATGTCGTTAAAAAAATTGAAAATCTTGAGAAAAAGTAACTAAAAGCCATTTAAATCATCTATATTATAAAATAATAATATGAAACAGAGGGTGACCTAATTATATGATCTTTGCTTCCGAAACATTTTATTATTTTATAGAGCTGTAAACATCAGATTTTTACAGTCTATTTCTAAGTATTTATAATTTGTATTCAATTGTTATTTAGTTGTTTGATTGCTTTTTGTAGGATGTTCGATCATCCTATGTACAAACACCCTCTACTTGCCACTGAATACCCCAAGTACGAAAAAAAAATTGTTGTACAAGAAGAACTTACTGTAGCTAGACAAAAATTGATGGATGCCAAGTCCGTTTTACAACTGGATGAGCTAAAATGTCGAAAAAGAGTACTGAGACGACTTGGTTATTGTACCAATACGGACGTAATTGAATTGAAAGGGAGGGTTGCCTGTGAATTAAGCAGGTAAATTAATTAAACATAGTAAAGTTAAAAACGTTTTTTGGAAAAATGAATGGTAATTTTTAGCTCAGACGAGTTACTTTTAACTGAAATGATTTTTAATGGTGTTTTTGGTCAACTAACGTCTGGCCAGTGTTGTGCTCTTTTGAGTTGTTTTGTTTGCGATGAAAAAAGCAATGATGCCCCTAAATTAACTGAAGAGTTATCTGGACCTCTTCGACAAATGCAGGTAAGTGAAAGTTTTTCTAACTTTTTATATCCACCTGATTAACTGGTTTTGTATGAACTGTTGTGCGTATTTTTTTATTGTCCTAGGAATTAGCAAGGAGAATAGCAAAAATTAGCAATGAAGCTCGTCTTACTTTAGATGAGGAATCATATGTGGAAAAATTCAAGCCCTATTTAATGGATGTAGTATATGCTTGGTGCAATGGAGCTTCTTTCAGCGTTTTATGTAAAATGACTGATATTTTTGAAGGTTCTATTATAAGATGTATGCGAAGACTTGAAGAGTTATTAAGAGAAATGGTTCAGGCGTCGAAAACAATAGGAAGTTCAGCATTAGAAGAAAAATTTATTTCCGCAATTAAATTGATCAAACGCGATATTATTTTCGCATCTAGTCTTTACCTATAATGTTGCGATTCTTTCACAGAAAAGACTTTATTCCAAGAATTGGTAGGACGGAAAGAACTCCGTTTCTCTTCTTTTTCTATTTACAAATTTTGTTTTACTACCTACGAAAATTTTTTATTTACTGATGTATTGCAATTGAAAATGATTATGTAAAATAATCTGTAAATATTATCATTGTATAAATTATTAACTAGTTTAAAATTGGNTTTGAATGTAATTTTTAATGCTTTATACTTGTTTACATCGTATACTGGTATGCTTGTCTTATCTGAGATTTTTTGCTTGGCGTGTTGACTCATAAGTATGCTCTACAAATATGATATAAATGCTAGGACATAAATAAATTGAAAATACAGGAATTTTATTTCAACAACTGTTCATTTAAAAATGTAACGACACGAGTACAATTAATTAAATTTATTGTTAATTGTCATTAAGTAATATCTTATTATCGAATATTCAGTTGAATAAGCCTATGGAGAATAATATATTTAAGTTAAAACGTCTGATAGATAAATAATAAAATATAGTAATTTTTAAAGCAATTTTCAGAAGCATCCAATAGACAAATTTTTGCAATATTTGCTACTGTAGACGACAGTTGATGTGTCCGTTCATAGTGTGGGGTCGGTCGACCTCCCCACTCTAATGCTACTTGGACAAATAGGGTGTTTTACCCCACCTCGCTTCATGTACAAGATTTTGAATAAAAACCCATCGTAACCGTCGATTAGATCAGTAATCATTTGGTTTTCTAGTGCTCTACTTCTAGTACTACATTTACGCAAAAGTTAATTGTGAAGTTGTGAAAAATAAAGGTCCAAGTGGCGCTAGTTCACCCCGTTTCTATGTTCTTTTAATTCATAGTACGGAATGAACTCGCGGCTTTTGAGCCCAAATAAGTACATTCGCATTAAATGTGTAATATTGGTCGTGAGTTTTCTTCGTGTCTATGATACTTCAGACATAGTACGGGAAAAACTCGCGGTTGATATTATATCATCGCAATGATATTGTCAATTTGTTCATTTATATTCGTTCATTCGACAAGAATCGTTTTCTGTCGTCTTTGGTGATCTAGCCGTGTGATTGTTACATTTCCTGCGGATATATCACCAGGGCGATGGGATACGGTAAACTACAGGATCTAAGAAGTTTTCTTGTTTTTTGTAAAGGAACTATTGGTGTGATGTGGATTTGGTCATATCACAGCCAGTAGTTACTTCACAACGGCAGGAAACAGTCACATCACATCATCACTAGTACACCATCAGTCAGTCTACGATTCCTTACGGGTGTTCGGTTGTAGTCTCAGATTTCCGCTGTGACTAGATCGAACATTCGCAATGGGTGTAGATCTTCGTCGTGGGAGCAAGTAAGAGTAATAAAATGGTAATTCGTGCTGCGTTGTTGTCGTAGCTTTTGTGGTTATTTTGTATTCCATAAAGCTATGTCAGCAATGCAGCAAGCATTGCGTTATCGTCAGTGCGTTGGATGTCGCAGGGAGGCTTGAAGGCACTTTTTAGCGTCTACTATTCGTACTGTGTTTTTGTATCTTCGTAGTACGGAAGGTACTCGCTGGAAAAGCCTTCGAATCATTTTCCTAATTTTAATTTGCTAAGTGTATTAATTGCATGTAATACAATAAAAACAATTAATAATGCGATGTTACAATATTCAATACAATACAATACAATCGCGGCGTCTTTCAGTGAATACTACCTGTACTGCGAGGTATTTTTTGTAGTACGGAGGGTACTCACCGGAAGTGTCTCGCTGAATCATCTGTCCTTTGTCCAGGTATAATGAAGGTGTCTGTTTTAAGTGGGTACTTGCTGTACATACGTATATATTCTCGTAGTACGGTGGGTACTCGCTTGAAACGTATATATATCGTATGTTTCTGGTAAAGTGCGAAGTTAACTATTTGTATTCTGTGGTGCATTATCTAGTGTAGTACTCAATGTATTACGTATATAAGATGTAGTACGGTGGGTCCTCGCTGGATATGTCTCACACTGCATCACGGCAGAGTAAAGGTGGTTTTTAGTGGGTGCTGTATGTACTGCGCTATGTAGTGAACGTAGTACTACGAGTACTCACTGGGAAAGCCTTGGTGGTTGCTGCATTATACGTTCTCAGTATATTGAATAAATACTAGTATTATACATTCCTTGGTATATTTTAGGTAATATAGGCCCATAGGAATAACTATACCTATACTTTTTCTGTAGAAAGTTCTTTGCAATTTTCAAGTAATTTCAATTAAAAATTTTCGCGTATTATTATATAAGCAACAATTCACAGTAATCATCTTGTGTACAAATGTAATATGGGTAATAATTTTGGAAATTGTACCAATGTTGAGAGGACAGCTATGTATATATATATATTTTCTATAAGGGGTTTCTTACCCTTCATATTGAACCTAAACCTAAGGGTATGTATATTACAAAAGTGGACGAGGATAAAGTTATATTTTGGATAAGGGTTTTCTTACCCTATTGTACCTAAAACTGTAAAAATGTTGTTACAACCTACATATTTGTTCTCTCTCTACAAAATTTGAGTTAAAATGTAGATTTTTTGAAAGAATGCTGTCTACTCTGCCTTTTGAAAATAATATATTACAATCAGAGAGTGAAAGTGGCACGAAAAACCCACCAGATGGCGATACATTGTGAACTTTGTAATATATTATTATATATTTTGTTTGATTAAGGACGGGGACAAAATCTGTAATGCCATATTTTCTTTTCCCTTTTCTATTGAAACCTAACGTAAAGTAAAAAGATGTTGTACTTGTATATTATTTAAAATTTTGATTTGAAGAGGACGAGGACTAAGTCTGTAGAAGTTTTGAACCTAAAACTAGAAGTATGTGCCTTCCCATTTGAACCTTAATTAATATTTTGATGGGGTGTAACGTACACAATGTATATGATATTATATATTTTTTGTTGTAGATGTGGACGTTTATTTTCATAAATATACAACAAAAAAAAGTACAATTTCCAACTATATACGTAGTATATTCATCAAAATGATTTCAGAAAAGTAAGAATAAAAATAATTGTGGTTCTGTTTGAATGTAATTTTTAATGCTTTATACTTGTTTACATCGTATACTGGTATGCTTGTCTTATCTGAGATTTTTTGCTTGGCGTGTTGACTCATAAGTATGCTCTACAAATATGATATAAATGCTAGGACATAAATAAATTGAAAATACAGGAATTTTATTTCAACAACTGTTCATTTAAAAATGTAACGACACGAGTACAATTAATTAAATTTATTGTTAATTGTCATTAAGTAATATCTTATTATCGAATATTCAGTTGAATAAGCCTATGGAGAATAATATATTTAAGTTAAAACGTCTGATAGATAAATAATAAAATATAGTAATTTTTAAAGCAATTTTCAGAAGCATCCAATAGACGCATAATTGAAAATAAGGAGGGTACATTGCTATTTTTAATATTAATCTGTATTCAATCAAGATTTTGGAAAAACGCGTTAAAATATGCATCTAGAAATTTTAGGATGGATGATAATGTTATTATTTTTAAAATTCCAAAATAGCAATCCGTTTTTCATTATTTATTCATGCATATGTTGAAATGAGCGTTATCTTTCGCCTTGATCGATCAAGAAAATTTATACCTAAACGTGGAAGGTTAATGTAATGAATATAAGTAGATAATGAATTGTTCATTTATTTATTTAAACATTTCCAAAAACCTCGTATAACGTGTATGTTATTAGATAATTCCAAAACGTCGCATATTGTTAAGACTAGTAATATTACTGTGCAGAATCCTACTTGGAATAAAGAGATTTGATTGAAAATAGTAGTAGAAAATTCAAGTGAGGAGATAATATGTATAAGTCCCTGTGTAGTATCTACAGAATTGTTTTTAAAACCTAACAAATCCAATTAGCAAGCATCATGCATGTGTATCAATAGTAACAAAACTCAAATAAACACAGAGATTTTTTTCCTATTGGGGTTGGAATTGTGTCCTGAGGTGGCCAAGATTATAACAGAACGCATGAGTCCACTGGTACTCAAATTAATAAATAAAAAAGTAAAAACAATTAATTTTACAATATATTTATTCTTTCGGTTTTATTCGGCTTATGATGACATTGTATAATCAAGTTCGTGAACGAATGAGTTGCTATCGTTTCATCTTCGGATTAAAATCTCCGAAGCCGTGTTTAGTTTAGATCGACGTGTGCGTTGTGTAATAAGACGGGGTCGATCGCGACTTTTTTCAATAATAGTATAAAATAATGTGAAGTGTTTCAGTTAATAACACTACTACACTATATTATATGTTGTCAAGTTATGAGTATCATGCCCGGAAATCAAAATTTTACCATTTTACGGATTACTTGTGGTAAATGGTCAAAAACTTCCCTTTAAAGAATATTCAAAGATATTTACCACGTTTGCATTCTTAGATACGCCATGGGAAAGGGTAGAAATTTTGAATTTTACTTTTGTTTCTTTGTTAGCTCGTTTTATGTACAATATTTTAATGGATTTCGTCTTTCGTTTTCTTGTTCGTTTTTCTCTATTGTCAATTTCGTTCTTTTGTTTCTTATCCAGTTTTGCAGGTTGTAAATTTCCATAAATGCTCTATACTGCTTGTATACTGATCACCCTTGAACTATTGTTGGTTTATTGGCAAAATTAGAGTCTTGAAATGTAAAAAATTATATACAACCAACAAAATTAGATTCCTCTTTATTCAGAAATTCATTATGTTTGAAATTTTTGTTATTTAACAATTTTAACATTTTTAATTCCAACTTCCTTGCATTTTTACATATTTTTAATCTTTCCAAAAGCGGAACGAAAACAGTTTATTGACAAGTCCAGAATTTACGAACACTTTTTTGTTTTTATCTTATATTGCGTTACAGGGATGTTGCACACGAAGAAGAAATATTTTGTTGTTACGTGTACCATCATTGCATAATTTGATATCCAAAATTCTAAACCTTTTATGTTTTGACTGAAAAACTGTTGAAAATGAAGGGCTTGTTTACAATCCGCCCACAATTTTTTATTTTTATATTTTATGATGTCCCCATATACAAACACAGGCATAACTATGGT